TCTCTCTCTCTCTCTCTCTCTCTCTCTCTCTCTCTCTCTCTCTCTCTCTCTCTCTCTCTCTCTCCCCCTCCCCCCTGTCTTTCGTTTCCTCTTCTACTTTTCCGTCCTTCTGGCCTTTTTCCTCTCGCGAGCGGGGTAATTTGCAGGGGCGCAAAGGCCGGCTCGGCTGCATGGGTGTCTGATCGTAAACGATATCGATTCCTTTCTCTTTTCTTTTACTTTGCTTTCGCGGCACAACAAGGCAAGGAGAAATTTGTACTCGCGATATCGTGGCAATGAGAACAGTTTTTGCAAAATAAGGAATTAAATAGGAAATGTGGAGATGAAGGGGAAAAGAAACAGTTTTTCTCAGCGAGGCGGTGCGACGCTTTTTACGCTCACTGCTTTTCCTCTTCAAGAATCAATTTTTCATTTAATCAATGAGAATGCGAGGCAATTTGTTTAAACCACCGCGTCTTCGATAACGAATTACATCGGTGCCGAAAGCCGTAAAAAGCTCGGTGAAAAGTTCGGGAAGCGACTCGTTTACGGGAGATTAGTCGATCGCGTTGCGGACCCCGGGATGTATGTACGGTTGGAACGCGCGTACCCGAGTTTCGCATCCGCGGCCAGGAGGCAATCGAAACCGAGGACGGAAAAGTGCATCTCGTTTCGCTGATGCATCGCTAGTCGTAAGGTACATCTGCGATGTCCTCGCGAAATTTCCGAATTACTGTCCTCCGCATCGCGCTGCCGCTCGATGGTGAGTAGATCGAATTGGCGAATTATTTTCGCGGTAGCAGCGGAAGAAAGAGAGAGAGAGAGGGTATTTCCCAAGTGAAGGGTACATACGCGAGCTTTTTTCACGCATAAACTTTTTCGCGCAAAGTGTTCCTGTTCCATCTATCCGTTACATTTATTCACGGTGTAGCTTGACATATTTCTTTATCGCGCAGCTTTCGACACGTGACACACTGACATTTACAAACATTAAACATATTACGTATTTCGAGATTTACAGAAATACGTACCGTGTTCTCTTGAGACTGAACTAAATCCGCGGGGCAAATTCCTCTACTCGCGCGGATATTTCTTTGCGTTGCGTTCGCGATCGAAGGGGTTACATTAAAACGGTTCTGTCATGGGGTTCGCGACACTTTAGCGAATTGAGTCACGTCAAAGGGAAAATCTGACGTAAAATGGATGTTGATTGGGCGAGACTTCTGACAATATGTGTCATCGCGTTCGCAGCAACAGTTTGTCGAATAGGCTACGGGCTTGACATATCATCGTTGCTGTAGCAATGTGTCCTGTGGTACGCGAAATGTCACGTTTCACGGGCCATATTGTCGCGAACCTGTTAAACCGGATTTAAAATGACGAATCATTGCCCAATCAGAAAATGCAGCGCATATCGATTTAGGAAAAAAAATAACACTATGAAGTGAAACATTTGAGGAATGTTATCTTAAAAATGTCCATCGTATATTGTCACTAAATTGATAGGATTATATTAATTTACTCGTAATAACGAAATGTTACAGAGTTATGAACAATTATTTGTTCATGTCAGTATGGCATTGTCGAGAAATAATTATTCCTTCCGAGCATTTTTGTAGGTAGATGTTTATTTTTTGTCGTCCGAATCTTTGAGTTTTGCGTTTCTTGGTCACGTATCAGAGCTGCGAGTTAGTTTTGCGAGTTGGTTTCACCGTGTGTGTATTGTCGGCCGGAACTAACGAACCGCGTACGTGTATCAAAGGGCAAATGTAACCGTTGCGGATGCTGGAGACATTACGTCTGGTCCGAGTAGTCGCCAGAGAATGCATAAAGTTTCTTTACTCGCTGCCAGAGTTAAATGCATATGTACATGGCGGCCGTGAACGAGACGGCGATTTCGTGATTTTACGACGAGGTTTTCGTTACAATTCGATACTTTCTCTCGCCGGCTCAGTAGTTTCTTCTGGGATAATAATTTCTCAAGCGTCTCTACACGTTAATCTGCTAATCGTGGGATATCCCTACCGCGCGCGCTATTATCGGTACAAGTTCAACACTAAACCAAATTAAAATGATAAAGCGTCTAACGATGTTGACGTAATAAACGAAAACGGATAAAGAATTTTACGGTTCAGCGTCAAGTAACAATGCTCGACGTTCCATCCCGGCCGAGACAGAAACAAAGAACCCGAAGGATTATTTAGAAAAACACCTCGGCGATTCGGCTGACCGACTTTTGAGAGAAAACACTCTCGACTCGAAGCGAGTGGAAGAGCAGAAATCTGCAAAAATCATCCCTTCCCGTGATAGTCTTGCCTGTACAAGGCTTAACGCTAATCCGTACGGGAACCGAAGGGCGGTGGACCCGCGGGCAAACCCTTTATCGCGGACGAAACAAAGGGCCGAATCCGAAAAAGGAAGGTATATCGCGCGATAATTAATGAATGAGGGACCGGCAAGGAACGGGAACCGCCGCGGTCGCGCCGCGATGATAAGACGGGGGAGAAACGAATCGACGTTTGACGATGATCGGCGATGACTGGAGATGAGGTGGCAAGATAGCGACGAGGGGGAAAAAGCGTAGGGAGAGAAAGTACGTCCGCGACTAGAGACCCTGCAATCAGAGACTGGCCTACGATTCTACGATCGTAGAATAGCGAGATAGCCTATGTTTCTCTCTCACTCGCGAGAATTTGACGAACTATTATGGCCAGTCTCTGATTACAGGGTCTCCGCGACGCTTTTTGTGTGCCACCAGACGGAGAGACGCCACGACGTCCCACATCCGAGACGTTACCGCGAGCGATCCGCCGGTCCCTCTCGTTTCCTCACCGCCCGTGTGGGTGTTTCGCACCCCGTCGCTCCGTCCTGTCCCGTTTCTGATCCCGGCTCGTCCCTCTCGCCCCTCGATGTCGCTCTCTTCACTCCGTGCAGCTCCCATTATCCCCCCGTCTCGTCTCCGCTCGCTTCGTTTACCTCCCACCCTCTCACCCCTGATAACGCCTACTCGAAAACGCGTGTCGTTAACTCACCGATAAAACCGCGATCGAATGAATGAGCGAATTCGCCGCTGAATCGAGTCGGGATCGTTTGCCAGCATCACGTCGTAGGAGAGAAACGTCCCGAGTGACGTGCCGCTTCCTCCGGAGGGGGAACTTTGAACGCCGGATAATCGTAAAAAGTATTGATGAACTACGGAAGCCCGCATATATTTAGGGCTGCTTTATCGCGCCGTCCCTTTACCCCTCGATCCTTCATGCACATCAAGTGACGCAAGATGCCAGATGAGTCCCAGTCTACAATAGGCGATTTAAGCCCTAAGCCTTAAGAAATTGACCAATCACGGCCAAGTATGAGTAGAATACGCGACTGTGATTAGTCAATTTCTTAAGGCTTGGGGTTTAAGTCTCTATTGTAGACTGGGACTGACGTGCATTTTCGCACGCAGAGACTAAGATTTCGAACGGAGCTCCTCTTGCGCAAATGTAGCAAATGCGAAGCTGGATTCGAGACAGAGTGGAATTCGAGTTTCCCATATTTTATAGTGAACATCCAGGATACACACGCGAATGGTATCTTAGAAGTAGATCCTTTGACCAATTTTAAATAAAATGGAGGTCATCGTCTGTAGCGATATTTCAATGTTTCGCATTAAAGTTCTCGGGAAGAGCTAACCGCAATCTCGGCTAAGGTCCTTTTATCTACCGCATTCCTTTATTTTCAACATAAAATTGTCTCTAAACTTCAAAGGATCTGCCTCTAAAATCTTCCCCGTCGAAGGCGAGTCTGTATTACGCGATAAACTTCGACCGCGTTTTCCCATTTCGTTGATAACAATCACAATAATTCGCGTTACATTCCCACAAGTGGAGCCCATGAGTGAGCGCAATTGCGAATTTCCGGTCGTGCCAAAAAAGGGAGGGGGGGGGGGGAAACCAATTTGTTACTGTTCGCAAACGCAAAATGTCTGCGAAACGATTAAATTCACTTAAGGGAGGAAATGTTATTTTCGAAAATGGAATGCAGGATAAAAATTTATTTCCCTGGCGCCACGAGAAGTAAACCACCGCGACGACGGAAGAGCGGCATAATGGCCTCATAAATTACGAGTGCAAAGCAAAATAATATCGGCTGAGATACGCATTGCAAGGAGAAAAGTCTAATTCAACTGATACGGCGCGGAAACATCCTTTGGCGTGACCTGCCGCGTAAAACGTCGGTATTCAATATCGCGGGTAAGCCTGACAGCAGTACTCTCTAAAAGTCAATCAGCGAATTATCACTGAAAACAGTGAATAGTCACTGATTCGCAGTTATAAGTACACTACTGAAAATTGCAGTGATAATCCACTGATTGACTTTTAGAGAGTACGAAATTGTGTCAATTTCCACGTGCGCGACTGCGTTCGCTTTATAAATCCACTTTTGCGAAACGCATGCGGCCCCACTACCATTAGCATGCACAAACAGTGGATAAGGTTCCTCCGAAAATAACCAGAGTTCGTACGCGCGCCGATCCGCCGACCTTGGTAATTAATATCGCAAATAAGAGGGCGAATTAAAACCAGCAGTGTGTAAAAGAAGGACCGCCCGCCTACTCGATATCGAAGTCTTCGGACTTTGGAGAAAGATGCGCCGATAAGAAATGCGTCGATAAGAT